AGAAAAAAACTCACTTTGTCAAAATAGTTATGGATTTTACAATATTTTAGTCATTATAGAGAGCAATGATGCTTAGCAGAAATGAAATATTTAGAAATTCTTATTAACTAGATAGCCCTTGTGTAAAATTTATTCATTTTAATGCAATAATTCCTTTCAGCATCTGGTGCTATAATATTTAATACTCACAATTAAATGTAATTTTTGACCAGAAAACCCAGGAGAAAGAATTTCTTAGATGAGATTATTTATCCAAACTTTTTGACTAAGGGAATTATGTTTATCTTATGCTCACTGCTATCCTTTTTTAGCTTTACAGCACTGAAAAAAATCATTTCAGCAAAATGTTTACTCAAAAATGATTGGTTTACTCATCATTAAAGGGATAAAAGATCAAAAGAAACTATCAAACTACTAAGCCTGATTTGACCACAATATTTCTTGAGCGCTTGCTATGATACAGAATATGTTATACATTTCATATAGTTTCTCTTTTATTGGTATAAATACACTGTAGAATTTTTTGAAAATACGGATAAGGTATATGAGTGGGATCTCAAAAGGTGATCACTGCATCTATCATTGGCTTCACAGAAACCATGATTTTCTCTTATTTATTTATTTATTTATTTTATTCCAGTACCAGGGATCAAACTTGGGACCTTGTGCTTGCTAGGCAGACACATTTATGCTGCTGAGCTATAGCTGCCTGTTTACAGCCTCCCAAGAGCTGGGATTACAGGTAGGTACTTCTGTGTCACCACGCCCAGTCTCAATTGCCATCTCAGGGCGCCCCAGGGGCAGGGCTGGTATGGCCAGCCTGGGGATGAACCTCTGGCCCCTACACCTGCTTGCAGGTGCTTTAATCCGCTAAACTATTTGGCCAGCCCAGAAACCATGATTTTCTACTCTGCCTGAGAAGAAGCAGGTCTTCATCCTCCTTTACCACTGGTATACTCATTCATGCTATTTAGTTCATATTAAATTTAAAATGGTCAAAATAGCATACATCAATAGTTTAAAATATCAAGTGGTACAATAGAGCTTAAAAGTGGCACGTGCCTATAGTCTTAGCAACTCAGGAGGCTGAGACAGGAGGATCACATCACTTGAGATCAAGGATTACAGGTTAGACTAGGCAACATAGCAACACCCATCCACCTCCACTCCTACATCACAGGGATTGTTTTTAAGTGTTTTCAGACTTGTTCTTCTACAAACTAATCTCTGTATGTATAAATCAGTATTTCAAAAATTGGCTTGCAAAACTCTAGTAATATGTAAAATGAACTTGGGAAAATTGACAATATCTATAATTTTCTGGGTTATCTATTTTAAAGTATATTAGGAGAAATAAAAAAACTGTAATATCAAATCAACAAATCTGGAAATAGTTTAGCTAAGGATGAGGCTAAAATAAGTACTTAAGAAGAAAAGTATATTGACATAATAAGTTCTTAAGTAAAAAGATAACATATAGTACACAGATAAAATACATAAGGAGATAACACATATCTCTATTGTATGAATTACAATACATAATGTAATGAGGCTCAACCTGACCATGTGGATTACCAGCTTTTGGGAATCGCTTATAGGAAGAGATAGGAAAGGTTTGGAGAGGTCGCCTACTTGTGAAGAGCTGGAACAGCTTTGGCTTTTCTGTAGGGGAGATTCTGGTCAGAGCTCAGAAGACCAGAAGGCTGATAGAAAGCCTGCCTGTAAAGACCAGGCTTGGGAGGGTTTCTGCTGGGAAGAACAGCATTGGTTGTTGGACTCCAGATCATTTGCATTTCGCCTTCGCAGAAAAGTTGTTTGCATTTTTGCTCGTGCCCCGAGACTTTGCCTGAGAGTGAATTTATGTATATCGGACTGATTAATCTTTCAAAAGATATTTCAAAGCAGCCAAATATTGGGGCAGTGGCATGGCTGTTATTGGGGGCTTTTAGCCAATTTATGTTGAGAATCAAGAGCAAGAGAGCAAAGGGAGGAGTAGCAGCAGCTCAAGCAGCTAGCTTTTCTCCCCTCCTTACATTGTAATGCAAATTACCTGCCTCAGGGAAGGTGCAGCATCCACACCCAAAGCAATCAATCACAAACTGGAAGCTGCCCCAAGATAGCATGAGGCTTTTGGGGGGACACCTATACACAAACCATAACACTCCAATTTCCCCATTAGATCCTTCCTGAGTCCCAGGGATCTACCTCCCCTTTTCTTTCCCAAGTTGTTATTTTCTAGTGCAAGGGTTCCAAATCTCAGAGATTTGTTGCTCCTTATCACGCCAACATCTTCCCTAAAGTCCTGTTACAAATATTTTCTTTCATAAAATGTGGATTCCAACAGGCTGGAGTCCAAAGCTGAGTATCTGATGTGTATTCCATTGCTCAAGGAATCAACTCAAAACATCAGAAGGAGGCACCTACTGTACCCAATACAGACCCAGGTGTGCCTGGGATTGATGTGGGACAATGTAGGCCTCAGGCAAAATAGGCAGACCTTTACAGTGCTGAAAGCCAGGAGGAGAACTAGGCTGATGAGCCATGCAGAGACTGTGCCTAGCACTGTTGCAAGGTGTAAGATGGAGACTCTAATGCTAGGACTGGGACTGCCTGTGAGCAGTCTCCTGTGGGCCTAGGATGGGTGGCAAGGCAGTAGGCATTAGGCTAGTTCTTTGCTTGTTCATAACATGTCTGTTGGCAAATGTCATTGTTCAGCAGTTTCATATTCATGGGCAAAGGAAAAAATGGCTTTTCCACTGTATGTTGTAAAAGACAGTCTCTCTTTTCTTCTCACTCTCTAGAACTTGACCACAAACCCATTTATGAATGAATCACTGGAAAAAGTATAATTTATCAAAGAAAAGATGGGGTCCAGAAACACCTGGTCTGTGTGGGGAGGGTAAAACATTAAGGGTTGTGTTGGAAAGAAAGAACAAGGTTACAGATGCTAGTTAGCAACCACCAGGGCCCACTATATATTTGATTTTCTTTCTACGAACTTCCAAAAGTACATTTTGAATTTATTATTAAAAAAGATATTAGTGTCTCTATCCTTTCTTCTACATTTCTTATTACACTTCAACTTTTAACAGTATTAATTACTATATGAAGATAACAACTAGAGATATTAAGGAATTTAAGATCACATAATTAGTGAATGTCACTGTTCAGGTTTAAAAATCATTATTTTGCTACTGTATAGACTAAATCTGGGATCACTTTTATTGTATTTCTACCCAGTAAGTTATAATAATAATGTCACAATGGACCCTTTTCTTCATTGCAGAAATTTCTTTAGTTCATAGGCAAAAGGACAATTTCACCACTTTAACCTTGGACAAAGCTCTCATTTGCATACAACTGAGTGCTGATACTAGGTAGTTGAGATGGTTAATTCATTCAATAAATAACTTTCAATGTTCAGCAAGATGAACTGTAGCAGAAGAATCTAAGATTGGAAAACAAAGTTTCCCCAAAGCAGTAGAAATCAGAAGGGCATTGGGAAAGCCTCATTTACACTATCAGGAACAAAATAATCTAGGCATAAAGCTAAAAATAAATGTGATCATTTATGAAGGAAATTATGGAACTTTACAGAAAAACAGTAAACCATAATCATCCAATAATATAAAATATCCATTAAAATGGCAATTATACTCAAATTGACTTAAGTTTAATTCATTTGTGAGTTGTTAAAACATAAATGCTAACAAAAATATAAATGATAAAAGAAATGATATAGGTCAAAACAGAAAGAAGAATAAAGAGAAAATTTGCCAAGAAACACACATTTTAGTAATTTTATTATTGCTTTTCAAAGGAAGACAATTTGATTGGCATAGAAAGAATAGATTTTTATTCTATTATTTATTATTATTATTATTATTATTATTTTTGTATTTAGGACAGGGTCTACAGGGTCTCACTACATAGATCAGACTCGTAGTGATTCTCCTGTTTTCAGCCTCCCCAGTGCTGGGATTATAGACCCATGCCACCATGCCTAGTCTCAACTGCCAGTCTCAGCATGCCCCAGGGGTGGGGCCTGCATGGCAAGCCAGGGATCAAACCCAGCTGCTGAGCTCTGGCTAAGCAGGCACTTTAGTCCGCTAAGCTATCAGGCTGGCCCCAAAAGAATAGATTTTTAAATGAATGTTCCTGGGATGCAAGTTAAAGGAACAGAAGAAAGTACTTAAGTCTTAAGCTAACCACCTACCACAACAAATAGACTGAAGTTAACTGTAGGCAAATCAGGACAATATAGAAAAGAAATATGGGTAAAGAGAATACACAATTCTGCAGTAGGTAAGATCTTTTAATACTTGACATTGCAATTGATAAGAAAATTACTACAGAGACTTTAGCAAAATATTGAAATTCTGCATATTTATACAATACCTTAAGTAAAATTAACAGAAAGGGAACACTGTTTCCATATATGAGAAAACTTGACACTAAATATAAAATCTTCTCATGGTCAGGGACTTAAAAAGGAAAATTGGGATGGCTAAGAATGTGGAGTAAACAAGCACTTATACATCACCACTTACAATAATTCACAAGTGTCATTTTGCAATACACGCGAGGGCTGACCAAAAACTACAGTGTGTGTTGACTTTTAAAAAAATGTATTCCAGTAAAACAGGTGTTGCCATTAGCCCCCTTCAAAATAGATTTCAATCCTTTGAACATACATATCCCATTGTTTTTGCCACTTTCTGAAGAAATTATGGAAGTACCTTTTCATATTGTTAGGAGATATAATAAAAAACACAGCTAAGTTGCTGCGAAGGTCCATCCCACAGAATGAGGAAACATAGTTTGTTCTCATCCACCTTATTCACTGTTTCCTGATACCACGTGACCTCCAGTTCTTCCCCCAAATCAAAGTGATCATCAAAGGGAAATATGTCATTCATTGAGGACAAGGCGGCAGCTGTGACCATATAACTACAAGCATTCACAAAAAAGACTTCCAGAACTGCTTCATAAAGTGGTGAGAACAAGGTGACAGATATGCAAAGGAAGATAGAATATTTTGAGGGAAATTAATGGCATGTCTTCTAATGTAGTTTTAAACAATTCAAATATTCAATGCAGTTTATGATCACATCTTGTATATATCCTTATTACATGGACTAACTACTATTCTATCTCTGGAAATTAATTCAAAGAAGCACTATGATTATGTTCAAATATTTATCTACATATGTCAGTAAATAAATTTATGATAACTAAACGTCCCATAAAAGTAGATTGGTTAAATAAAACATGATATAATCACAAGAACTGGGCCTGGGGAGATAGCTCAGTAGAATAAGAGCTTGCCTGGCAAGCACAGGGTTCTGAGTTCAATCCCCTGTACCGCAAAAAAAAAAAAAAAAAAAAGTAACATAAATTTTGGGGACCTGCCATTAGCTCAGTTGTTTAAGTGACTGTATAAACACAGCAGTCAGTCTCAGGTTGCTATGGTTCGATCCCCAAATGCTCAAGCCATACCAGACCTGCCCTGAAGGCATCCTGAGCCAGTGAAAAAGAAACAAAACAAAACAAAAACACTTCTGCACAAGAACTGTAAGGTAAGTGAAGTGACTTAAAGAGAAAATATATAGTATAATCAGAACATTTTTGGTAACAATAAAAGTTTAACATGTATTAAAAATGTCTGGAAGGAAACTCATTAAATGTATATTTAAATAATAGAAAAATTGGTGATTTTAAGCTTATAATTCACTTACATAATTTTAAAGTTACTTTTACAAGACAGTTATCTTATTTTGGCTAACAGCAACATTTTTCCTAATTTATAGTTAGATGTTTCCTAAGTTTTTATTCAAGAATACAATAAACAATGTCTGAAAACCTGATATTGCATTTGCTCTGAGGATGTTTTTGATGGCACAGTACTGTACATTCTATCTCTGAATATGCCATAGGGAAAAATCTCCTAAGTGCCAGCATATTCTTTGCTTATCCTGAGGAACTGGTATATTTCTTTTAATGGTTCATGAAAATCATTTAATTATATAGTTATTTTTTATTTTGGCTTAGGTATTCTTGAACACAAATTTTATCTAATTATAGTTACATATAGAGCAACACAGTTTATGTATCTATCCACCTAGCCTTTATATTTCATTTCAATTTATAATTCCCTTGCTTGCAATTTTACTTAATGCATTTTGAAAATAATCTCAAATATTTTTGAAGTAGGGTATTAATAAGTAAGCAGGATAACCCCATTATTGTATCAGCATATTGTGACAATATGTACCAAAATAGATTCTCCATCGAAAGGACTATACATAATCCCAATATGATCTATTTTAGAAGTACTACTTATAAAATAAAGGAAAAAGTATAAAATTGTTATTTTGATAAATAAACTAGGTGAGACTTCAGTGAGTATTAAACTAAAGGAAAAGAGATATTCTAATCCCTCACAGTATTAAATGCAATTCTAGAAGACAGAGACACTATGTCTGTATACCACTAGTTGCTTCCAACTATATGTACCAATTCCCAATAATGAATGTATTTATTATTGCAAACATATACTATAAAGACAGGAATAAAATGTTTAATTAGAAAAAAGTAAAAACCACTCTAGAAATATAATATAAAAACCCCACCAAGACTTCAACAAATGTTTTCTTTTATAATTGGTAAGATAACACTGAGAAGAGGTGTCACTATGTTCTTTCATTTATCCTAAAGCACCTTGTTAGAGATCTGGTATTCGAAATTCATTTTTCCCACCTCAACATTCTCCCCACAGGCCAATGACGAGGAATTTCCAGGTATTTTTTGCCCTCTTATGGAAGTGCTTCATATCTCTTTCCCTTACTTGCTCTTCCTGTGGATAACTGATAACCTGGTAAGACTGGTCCTGTTGTCCTACCCACATTCCTGAACTGAGTAGAGTCATTGTGTCCAGCACACTATTTTGTCTCTGGGCATGCTAAAGTTCAGTACAGTGATTTGTTCAGAAGTCATCACAGACTAAGCAGATCAGAGAAGGTACTTTTCCTTTCTTTTGCTGTTTGGTCATTGAACTTGTAAAACACGTTTGCAAGCTTTTATGCAGATTGTTGGGTAAGGATACCTAGAGCTTATCCTTTACTTATCTGACGTTCCTATGCAGGTGGGTCGTTGGATTTCTTTCAACAAAGAAAACTGTGCATTTATTATTTTCATTCTTACTATTAGTGAAGTGCACACTTTGGTCCCTATTTGGCTTCTGTGTGTCTGAGGTAAGAATATGGAGACAAAAAAACTTCCCCCTAATATTAACACATAGTAGTGGACTCCATCATTTTATTCTACTTCTCTGTTTTACACTCCTTAGTTTTTATTATCATTAATATGTTCAAAATATTGGTTATATTCTATTGTCACAAAAAAAATCAAGTAAACAATTTCCTGCTCGAATGTTAATTTTTCATTGTTGTTAAAAAAGAAAGACTCCAATAACATTAGAAAAGCTGAGCAGATCGGAAGTTCAGGTGAAAGGCTTAATATTACCCTCAGATATTTCCAGATGTATTCTCTGTGACTTCAAAGGAAATAAAAAGGGACACAGGATGAGTAGCAGTGGTAAGCAGACACAAAAAATAATCAACAGCGTTGCTTCATATGAAATTTCCTTGATAGTGGGGATGTCCATGTAAAGACTGAAAAAAACTACTTAGGATGTTTCAAAAAGGATCTGAATGCAGAGTTAGGGAATTAGAGATAAAGATTTACTCTCACCTCTCAATCGAACACAATTCTATGAGTTATGTTAGAACTGCTTTCTAACCTGGAGCATAACAAATTATACTTCATATGTATTTCAATAACTTTTTCATAATAATCTGTAAAATAAATTTTAGATATAGAATAAAGAAATATTCAGATAAACTAGATAATTATGTTAATGAAAAGAAAATTACCTGTCTGGAAAAACACTCTAGAAATAACTGTCCGGCACAGTGGGCAGGGAGTATCTGCAGGATTGTCTTTGGCCAGGGTCCGTAAGCAGGGCTCACAGAAGATGTGATGGCAAGGGTAGCACATGTAAGGGTTGAAATAAACATCCAGACATACTGCGCATATGTAGCTATCCTTTTCCTCTGCATATTCATTGTCATCATCTGTACTCATCTCATCATTCAAATTCTGCAAAAAAGAAAAAAGTTTTTCTTAGTGCAATACTGGTTTTCTTGAGAATGATTTTAAGTTTTATAAAAATGAAAATATTTGAGAAACATGTTTCTGTGACATATTCAAAGTGACACAATGCTACTTTTGAAAGTGAGAAGAAACTGAAAAAAAATACATATATATGAAAACCCCAGAAATTTCATTATTCTTTAGTATTTTTACATGTTAAATGGTAAAATACAGCTAAACACATTAAGTATTCTTGTACCTATTTAACAAGCACTAATTAAACACTATATGTACCAGCCCCAGGATTATACAGTCTTTATTCATTCCAAACCTACAAGGCAAACAAACTGATTGTCACAAGGTCGCACAATTATAATGTGTATCTGCCCATAATGAAAAGGTGACAACAGGGGGGTGTTTAACTTCATCCTTATGCTGTCGCTGGGACATTTCCTTTTCAAAGCTTTGTCTCTTTTTCTACCTCAAAGTAAAGAACTAGGCAAAGCCAAGGGAATAGCAGGAGGTAAACAGGGCAAAGACACTCAAGGATAATTATGGCCACCTTAATATTCTGATTGGATTCAAAATGTTTACCTTTTATGGACATTTTGACTTTGGAGAAAGTCAGAATTATATGGTATCAGATATTGTAAATAAGGTGCAACAGGACACACTATAATGTCTTCACAGCCTACCTTTCTATTGTATGACACCTGGCAGCAGTATTCACTGAAGGGACTGACAAAAAAGAGCTTCCAGAACTGCTTCAGAAAGTAGCAAGTACAATGTGAGAGTGCATCTATCACTGTGGTATGATGTTCTTAACTCTTGGGAGAAACTACCGAGGAGGGGAATAGCTGGGTCATAAGGAATATCTAGTTTTAGTTTTTTGAAGTATCTCCATACTGATTTCCAACAGTGGAGAAAGCTCCCCTTCCTCCCACAGCCTTGCCAGCATTTGTTATTGGTCTATTTATTTAAAGACCCAACCCAAAAATGGGTACCTGAGATGAATACACACTTTTCAGATAAAGAAACACAAAGAAAAAATAAGTGAAAATATATTTAATATCATTGGTCATTTGAAAGATGCAAATTAAAACAACACTGAAATTCAACTCCATAAAGTTCTTAATTTTAACTTAACATTAAATTACACTTTTCTTTCATAGTTATTGCTTTTTGTTTTTTTAATTTAAAAACTTTTATCCTTTTCCAGGGTTTTAATGATAGCATTATTTTGCATTTTATAACATTTCATAATCCTATAAAATACTAAAAGTTAACTTTCATGTATAGTATATCTTATAAATTTCATGTTTTCCTTGTTTGCAGTGTTAGAAATTAAACCCAGCCTCCTGCATGCTAGGTAAGTGATTTAGTACTTAGCTATAATATCATCCCACTGTTCTTCTTTATGTAGTTATTAATTGTGAAGCTTATACTGTAAGGCTTCCCTTTCATGAACTGCTCTATAGTGCTACTTTATCATTAAGAGGCATACATGCATGAGCCTGCTTTAGGGATTTTGTACTGCTCCATTAGTTTATTGTCTTTTGTATACCATAATCATACTCTCTTGAGCTTTTTAGTAAGCCTCAACATTTAGTACAGAATGACTATTACTCAGCTATACAGAATGATAAATTCAAAGCCTTCATATATAAATGGATGCCACTTGAAGATATACTCATAAGTGAAATAAACCAGACCCACATGTGTAAATACTGTATAGACTCCCTAGTGTAAGAACTCAAAGAAGAAATAAAAATTGAAAGGTATAACACAATTAAATGGAAAGTGAGAACTTAAGGATTAAACAATGAAGAGAGGGTAAGGAGACAACCTAGGAAACATGGCAGGGTCAAAACCATACATTTATACACACAAGATGATTAAGGCAATGATCCTAAGAATCTCCATCAGGTTTTTGAAACTAGCAGTTAACTGGTAGGATTCTCACTCTGACTGTATATGCTCACACCTGTAAACTAAGCAACTGCACTGAGGATAGCAATGTGAAACACTAGGGCCATGCTTGGGATGCATGTCATTCTGGTCTTCTAAATGTATGCTGCTTCTAATATCATTTCAATTACTACTATACTCTCTCTCAAGTAAATATTATAAAAGAAAAAAAAAGGTAACACATGAAAACAAGAGACAAGAAAAAAATGTCATACGACTGTCCTGCTACAATGTTATATATGGTTAGATTTCTAAATTTCTGTGTAAAAATGTGTAATTGTGTATTTTTATTTATTTATTTTTTTCACATTCACATTCTACAGGGCTTTAAGGTTTAGCATATCAACGATTGTTGGAAAATACCTTTTCCATGTTAAGTCTAAGGCGTTTAATATTCAGACAGATAGTGTTGTTAAACTCAACTGTCTATGTTATAAGGTAATATGATTAAGTTTCTCTTCTGGAGGGTTAACAACTTTAATTTGCAGACAAAAAATTAAAAAAGAAGGGCTACAAGGATAGCCAACATGGTGGCCCTAGCCCTTCAAGGTCAGTGAGAACTCAGGACATAAGAGAACCTATACTGTAACATCCTGTAACTCAGTGGTGTCCTAAATTTTCTGATAAAGGAGATTAAGAAGCCACAGAGGAAAGTGATCGATGATGTTGGATGTGCCTAAGGAGAGTCACATGGAGAGAAAACATTCTCTCGGCTTTCACAGAGAGCAAATTGGTCAAGCAATGGCTGTGACTCATCCACATGACTGACAATGACAAAGGATTTACAAACTGCAGTACAGGGTTACAGGATAAATCCTTGACTGACCTTATCAGATACAAAAGTTACATTTCTTGTTATATAGGTCTTGCTTTCCTTGGTTTTAACCATCCAGCAGAAAAGTATAAAAATGAGGCATAAAAAGTAAAGCAATATTAATATGCTGAGCTGTAAAAGGCTCAAGTCAACAACTTCTGACATTGTCAGCTCTGCAGATAATCCACTACTACTATGGACTACTGGACTATATTGGATTATTTTGCTGAATTCATGCACCTACAATTTTAAATGACCATAGAATACCCATCTCTGACAAAACTAAACAAAAAAAGGGATATTATTGAAGGGCCATTTTGTATCTGTATATAAAAAATAGTAAGGATAGATATACAGGTACTTTCTCTTAATTCAATGAGAAGAAGATTTGTATTAAGAGTGTTTGGACAGGATATCATGTCTTCATCTTGTGCTATGGTCTCTTCCTGAGTTTTGGTCTCTGCATCTTGTACTATGAATAACTATTATGAAGACAACAATATGCAATATGCAATGTATTAAATATTGTAACTGTCCCAGTAATCTGTTTTGAAAATGTCTCATTGTGATTTCTTTCTCAATAAAGTTAAGTAAAAAATAAAATTAAATTAAAAAAATACATTTATTGTAGGAAGTCCTTTATCTTATTGTTACTTTACAAGTGTGTCTTGGCCATATCTGTCCTTTGTGGAGACTACATAAAAAAATTTAGAATTACCTTGTCAATTTTATTAAAAAATTGAAATTTTCATTGGAGTTATATTGCACCTGCAGATAAATTTAGGAAGAGTAATCTATATAATACAAAGTTTTAAAATACCTGAGGCTAGTTTTTTCATCGTTTATTAAAAAGTACTTAAAGATACCTTGGTAAAATTTACTTCTATTTGAGTCAATCCTTATTTTTCCCCCAATTTTACTAATTATTTTCTTAATTAGCCTGTTCCTGTGATTATAGATGACAAACATTCTAGAATCTTTCATACTGAAATAAGCATATTAAAAAAGAACTGCTCAGTTCATACTATATTCTTCTTCCACTCCATTTTACAGCAAAGTTACCTGCTTCTTTGCTTCTTATCCATTCTTCAACCCACTGTAACCTGACTTCTATTCTTAATCCTCTGCCCACAATGCTCTTATCCATGTCACTAACAACTTCTGGCATATCAAATCTAATTTCCTGATGTATCTCCCTTAATATCTCAGCAGTATTTTCTCCCCTGCCTAAGACTTCTATAGTTTAAATAAGTTCAGACTCCTTACCACAGTCATCTACAGTATGATGCAGGGCCCAGTTTATTTCTTCTACCTCCCATGTTGAGATACTCACTTACCGGTCATCTTTCATCTCAATAAGCATACCACTTAATAATGCTTTTGTTCTAAAAAGTTCTTATTTGGTGTGATACAGCACATCACAAAATACAAAAGACCACAACAACACAAAAGTAACCTCTAACTCCAAGAGGCAATTATAAAATGGATTAAAAGCTTTTATATGTATAGGGCACATTTATTCACTTCACAAGATGAGCTTATTTTCTACCTTCAGAACATGGGCTCTGGCCATGACTGTTTTGGTCAATGAGTCGTTAATATAACACAAGTAGACACCTAAGAATGCTCAAGTATTGGAGATGGCCTTGTCACGTGGTTCTTGGTAATCCTCAGTCCACTAACATGTGAACAAGGCTCAGTAGCCATTCTGAGTAAGTGACACACAGTCTGCTTATGATCACTGCAAGGTTAACAAGCCAACCACCAAACAAGGGAATGAAGCTACTGGTTGTCAGCTGCAAGTGAACAAGCGAGCCCCAAGAACACATATGGGAAAGATATAAATAATTATAGCTGAGTCTGGCTTTAACTGCCAACCCCCCAAAATCTGAGTAAATTTTTTTTTAAGCAACTAAATTTAAGTAACTTAATACATAACGAAATTCATTAACATAGCATTTAGTATGTAAACCGTTTTATTTCATTTTAAAAATGCATTTAGCACAGGATCTCACTACACAGATCAGACTCAGATCAGACTCACAGTGATTCTCCTGTTTTCAGCCTCCGAAGTGCTGGGATTACAGGCCGAAGCCACCACACCCAGTCTCTTTAGTTGTCTCAGCATGCCTTGGGGGTGGGGCTGGCAAGACATGGGTCCCTGCTTCTGCCTAAGCAAGTGCCTTAATCAGCTGAGCTATCTGGTTAGCCCTCTCACCTCATT